AAGTAAAAATGTATCAGAAAAGTTAAACTCCATGATGAGTTTGTTATGTATACATGAATTGATGACAATTAACCGAACTTGTTTTTTAAAATAAAGGGGATATCTGTCAAAAATAAGCAAAACGTTAACTTTATCCTAGTTGCATATAATTTGGCATATGGATATAAAATTGCCGTAGACACAACTTTTTCAAGTAACTTTTTGTTTAATTCGATCTAGAAATGCACTTTTTCAATTTTTTTTCAAAAAAAAAAAGATGAATTTGACAAACACTGAACGTCAGTGGGTCGCAGTGCCGCATCATTTTAAGTTAAATTTAAAGCACAAACAAGTGCCGAAGTTAAACTTCATTGAAACTTTTCGAAAAAAAAGTTTCCCATATGGTGCGCACTTTAATGGTGACACTGTATATATATACTTTTTCCAAATTTTTCCACACAAGCTTTGTCTTAGACGATAAAGCACATTTTGGTTGATAAGTCTCAAATATGTAAGTTTTGTTGTCATTACCTGGCTTCCATGACATTTTAAACAATGATCCTTTTAGATCCTGACAATTTGATAATTCAACGTTTGTTTGAAGGTGTATGCGTGTTGATAATTCAAGCAAGATATCAAATAGTAGGGGGCCAGTACTCTCAAAAAGATTTACAGATGAATGAAACTTCTACGAAATAAAAGTTGTTATTATTACCTAAATACCAAACCATCAGAACAACTAAACAATTTTTCACCACTAGGTGACCATTTCACCAAAACATTACCAGATCCAGCAGGCCTCTTTAAGGAACTTGTCTTATCTAGTTCCACGTCCCACACAAGGATAGTATTATCACAGGCAGCAGCACTTACTAATTTATCACCTTTGGGAGACCAGGCTATGCTCATAACAGGTCTGTGGTCATCTCTAGACAACATAAGGGCATTACTGACAGATGGCCGAGTTACCTAAATTGATTGAGTGAAATTAATAAGTTACAGCTGAGACACTACTATACAGGGTACAGCGTGATGACAATCAGTTAGCCGTATTTTGGAAATAATAGGATTCATATCCTGAAAATTGGCAAATACAGTTTTTTTAATATGCTTTACTGTATCAAAATAATGGCTTTTTTCCAACACTTCCGATTATACCGGAAGTTGGTAGCAACTTCCTTAAATCAAACATGAACCGTTCCCGAGATAAGTATTCGGCTCTGGAGTGAATCCCCCATGAAATTTAAAAGTTTAATAGAATACATAAATTAGCTTTTATTAATTATTGAATGATTTTCTGTCAACTGGACTTGATCTCTATAATTCATTGCAAAACATTTTTCCTAACTTTCGCATAAAAAAGTTTGCTTTCACTTCTGACATCAAAGAAATGTTTCTTAGGGTCAATGTGAGAAATAAAGATCGAATCTCTCAACCAATTGTAAACAAAGGAATGGAGAGAGACATTTACGAAATAAACGTTGGTTTCTTCGACTCAACTTATAGCCCCTACTTAGCACAAGAAGCAAAAAATAGAAACGTTAGAGTCTTCAGCCAGTACCACCCAAATGCAGCAAGGGATATAATCGATGCTCACTACATGGATGACTATCTTGGAGGAGCAGATACAACAGAAGAGGCAGCACAGATTATAAATTATGTAATATATGTACTTAGTTAAGGAAATTTTGAAAATTGTAATTGGAAAGCTAATGATTCAAATATATTAAAAGATGTAGATGATAAGTTATTAGCTCTAAAAAAAATTTCGACATGAAATGGACAGAATGGATTGACGATCTACAAAATATTCATCACTTCAAACTTCCACAACAATTTTGCACAATAGAGAGAAAAATATTCTTCAACTTCACATTTTTTCTGATTCTTCTGAAAATGCCTATGCTGCTGTGGTTACATTCGTTGGGAACAAAACAAAAATGAGAAAGTTTGCTTCGTAAATGTCAAAACTCTAGTATCACCTCTAAAACCTCTATCAATACTCCTCCTGGAATTGCAGGCTGCATTGATGGGAGATAGATTGGGTTTCATTTGACCAAATCTCTGCAACTCAATATTTCAAGAACATTCTATTGGACTGATTCACAAATCGTACTCCATTGGATATGGTCAGAAGCAAAACAATTTAAAATGTTCCTTGCACAACAATTTGAAGAAATCCAAGAATCAAGCAACGTTTTTGAGTGGAATTAAGTTCCGTCAAAGCAGAACGTTGCAGATGAAGCAACCAAGAGTTATGCTAAAACGAATTTCTCAACTGAAAGCAGATGGATAAATGGTCCTGACTTTCTATGGGAAGTTTTTGAATATTGGCCGAAAGAAGATGTTTCCAGAAAAGACAGTTCAATCAAGCAATGTTTCAATCAAGCAAAATTAGAAATGAGGAATGATTTTTTCGTACAGAATGTGCTTAGTGAAATCCCAACTCCACAGGTGAAACATTTTTCAAAATGGCAAAAATTACTACTTTAAACAGCATGGATTCATAAATAATTGCAGATAAAACAAAAAAGATGGAAAACTTGATGATACCGGAGTTGGACAGAGCAAAAATTCAGTTATTGAAAAAGGTACAGTTTGAATCATACCCTGAAGAAATATTGATCCTCAAAAGAAAGGGAAAATTGTCTCTGGCAAATAAATTGTACACATTTGATTGTTTATTTGATGAAACCGTAGGACTCATAAAATATTATGGAAGAATGTATAATGCATTTGTGAATGACAACACCAAAAGGTCTGTTATATTGAATGCCAAACATAAAATCACAAAATTAATCATCAAATTGCATCATGAACTTGTGAACCATCACGGTCAAGAAATAGTTGTCAATAATCTACTCCAAAATTCACCAAGCAGTTCGAAGTTGTTGGGAAAAATGACCAAATTTGTCAAAACAGAAGTAGTTCTCCAAAGATACATCTTATGGGACAATTACCAATTTGTCAACTCGAACCCGTTTATCGAATCGTTTATCAAAACCGGAGTCGACCATTTTGGACCAATTGAAATAACTGTGAAAAGATCACACGTATGGTTACATGAGCTGTGCGCTTAGAAATAGCCCAAAATATGACCATCAATGGATTCATTCATGTATTCAGACAGTTTGGTTGCAGAAGGTTTCCCAGAAGAAATTTTTAGCGACAATAGAACCAACTTCCAAGGAGCGGAAACGGAACCGGCAGAAAATCTTCAGAATGTGGATCAAGAGGAAATTCAAAAATCTTGCACATTGAAAAATGCAAAATGGACATTCAACCCACCGTTAGCACCGCATATGGGTGGCGTATGGGAACGTTTGAAACAATCCATCAAGAAATATTTTTTTTATTTCTTTATTTGCTACAATCTGTCGGCTCTGTGAGACATTCAGCAGTATGTTAGGTGGTGCTATCGCTGGTGTGCTCTGTATGTGACCTGTGAACCATCCTTATTGTTAAAACAGTAGCTATGTTTACTGTAATTGTATTAAATCTTGAGGTATTTTATGCTTTAAACGTCGCGCTTTGTTGTGGTTTGGCATAAGTGGCCGGGCCAGAGAATTTGGCTGTCGTTCGATGTGCTCTTTACAGGTTCGGGTATGGCATATTGTTTCACAGTGGACAAGCATAGATCATGGTGTGATAACTCGTTAGGTACAAACCAGGGGGCATTGATTATCATGCGGAGTGTTTTATTATAACACTGAATAAAAAACCACAAACAATGGTTGAAACATACATATACATAAAACATGCTAGGTGAGTCAGTCGGTAAAGTTTTCGCGTTTGAATACCAAGTTGCTTTGTCTTAGTGAAAATATGTTTTGCCAGGTAAGTCTTTTGTCCAAGTGCAATCCAAGGTATCTCACATGATCTGCATGTGCAATTGCAATGTTGTTAAGTGTGACTGGAGAAAAAGAGCCTCTTCTCAGGATGACTGTTACATTGACTGATTTTGCTCCATATGCTTTTCCTGCCACTTTTTGAGCCAGTGAGATATGTCATTTAGCCCTTTTTGGAGAATTTGTGAGGCCATTTTCGGGTCGCTATGTGTAGCTAATATAGCAGTATCGTCAGATACCACGTTCAAATTTATTTTTTGTATGCATTCGAGGAATTCTCGTCCTCTGGGTAGGACAAGCCTGGAACCCCAAAACGAATGCTTGGCATTTATATCACCTCCTGCAATCAACCTGGCTCCAAGTGATTGAAAGAAGTTACTGAACTCCGTTTAAACTGTAGAAAAAGCAGCTTATATATTCAAATCTAAAAATTCTTCGACATTGTAAAAGGCATTTTCTAGGAGAAGGTCTATTAAAGCTTTTTTGAATAATTTTATTTCACTATTATTTCATTTCAGGTTTATTTTGGTTAATATAATTATTATTTTCAGCTATCTCATTTTTAATTCTTCTTTTTTAGTTGTTTCAGGGATTTCAAATCATTTTACATAGTAGACAATGGAAGTCCGAACTAGTGAAATTCATCATGAAACATTGTCAATCACCTTCAAACAAAAGTTTTATTTACATCAACATGTAGACCGTTATTTGTGCCCATTGTGAAAATTCATCAGTAGTTTTATTTGCAGCTTGAACAGAGAGGAGAAGTTCGTTTTCTGCTACTATTTGATAGGTATCATCAGCATATATTACTGTTTTTTGGGGAGATACACATCAAATTTCAATATCACTCATAAATATTATTAAGAGAAGCGGAGCCAATGTTGACCCTTGTGGAACTCCTAATGAGACAGAAGCTGGTTGTGATTTTATTTCATCCTAAGCAAATGACACAACTAACAGAGTCCTATCAAAATAGATAACATTGTTTAATCTATGAACCTAATTCATCTCGGAACTGTTGGCTCAAAGAAAGAATAGTTCATCTTCATCCAGCAAAGGATGGAAAAATATATGTAGCTGACGTTATGACAGCCAAAAAAATAATTTTCCGAAGACCAGTCTCCAGATTATGTGTGTTGCCAGTACTTGACCAAAACGAAAAATAGGTAATTGTTGATGGAACAATTACTGAAGGGAAAAATGTTGTTTATTTTGTTTGATTGCCTCAAATTTTTCACATTCTATACAATTTTATATTAGATATTTTGTAAAACTTTGATAATAGGTATGTATAAGTTACCTGTGACAATGTTGAAAAAAAAGACCATTGTTATTTTGACAGAAAAATTTTGGATTTCAATTTGGTTCTTCGAGACTAGATATTTCCAACAATACCTCAGTTACAGGTAAAGTCAAATCAGTGAAAATCTTAATTTTTGTAAAAGTGACTTCTATCTGCAAAGGTGATACATTTCTGTGAGTAAAAACAGTCATTCATTTGATCATCCTATAGAGATTAGTCGTTTCATGAGGCGGTATATGTAAGAAAAAAACCCTACAAGAATAAATGACTTTGAATCCATAGGGAGTTCATCTGAGTTAATGTTTGTTCAATTGTCATTTATTATTATATATGATCAATTTATTGCCATAAGTTGCCATTTTTTACCTATAGGAATTTGCATTGTGTCATAATTTTAATAAATCCACATCAACTCAATTATCAGCAAACAGTTTCATAAAATGAGCCCTTACCAGCGAATTTGCATCCACATTCCAAATAATTATTCCATTTTCATGACCTACAGCTATTTCCGTATTTGATAGTGGTCTCCAAGCAATGCTAGTAATATGTTTCTGTTGTTTACATCTCAACAGTGGTGTTATAATACTACTATCACCACTAAAAATTCTAACACTATCATCACAAGTTACAACAGCTACTTTCGTTTCGTAGAGATGCCATGCTATGCATCTGATTGTGAAGCTTTGCCAATTTCTTGTTTGAGAAAATTCTTTAATAATAACAGGTCCACTATACTTCAAATTAGGATTCAAAACCAGTCTCACTTTTCTAATGTACTTCAAAACATCCAGTATTATTGAAGCACTAGATGATATGAGTAATTGGTTATGTGAAGAAGCTGTATGTAAAGCTTCAATGAATCCTTGTTCACAATAAACCTGAGTTAGTTGCTTCAAAAATGATATATTAACAGGTAAAAATAAAGCCTTGCCTTCGTCACCTGAACTCAGGGGATGAAGTAAATCTCTAGTAATGTGAACTTTCGGGTGGTTATCTACCTATAATCAAACATATCATATTAGGAATATTGAACATAAACATAAATTGTGAATACCTACAGTGGTCGTAAAGGCGCTAACATTCGTATAATCGTGATTCATAGAATGAACACGTCCGTTAATTTCACACAAAGATATCTCACCGTCATTAGGAAGATCAAAATCATGTAAATTTCTCATTTTCAACATTACTATCTTACGACTGTTAAAATTTTTGAATTTTTTTATTTAGAAATAATAGAACATTAAGATTTGATTATATTTTTTTAGCAGCGTTGCCAAATCGTGAAGATAAACTAGAAGGGACACATTTTTTTAAATGAAGTTTTGAAGTTTATTTAACAAAATGTCGATTTCGAAAGTAGAATTTAATGAAATTTTCAATTCATCCTCAGAGTTATTCAAAATTGTGATTCAATGTCAAATGTAAAAATACTGATAGGAAACTGAAAAATTGTATAATTATAACATTTTGTTAATTTCCGACTTCGATCTCGGATTTGTCAAAAACTTTTGAAGTCCAAACTCGGAGTTTATATTTAATTCCATCTTGAAAAATCATATATGCTTCTACCATGCCGTCCTTGCATTTCTACTTTGAAATTGGAATTTCCCGATATTTTTTTTTTCGTAAATGTGATCCGTCTATACCTCCATAATTTTGTTCTGATTGGTAGTTACACAGAATAAAATGCATGTACAGAGAGTATTGGTGATTTAATTATTCTTATCCATGATAATAATCACACAATTTTCACAAACATTTCAATTTCTAGACGTGTTTAACTAACACAGTAGCTTCTTTGGTAGAAATGGATGTATATTATTTCTGAGTAAGATGTATAATATACGTCATAACAATCGGAAATTATGAGTTGCGAGCAATATTCATTTTGAAATATTGGGGATAGATTTCACGACGAGTCTTAAATTTGTGTTCCCATACATCTTTTTATTGTCGTCCAATACGACTTACAAAACTTTGGCCTTCGACATCTCTGAAATATCACATTGTGACATGTTGAAATTTCATCTATCAGTGGTATTCTGACGAGTACCGCGGAAGGCGGAAGATTTCTTTGCGATATTGCGAGTAACTTTTTAATATCAACAAGATATTAAAAAGTTCATTATTCCGTGACATTAAAAATCGTAATTCATGAATGAATTGTGTGTATTTTCTATAATGTTATCCAATTTGGTACTGAAGAGCCTTAAGGCAAGTGTCTTCCGGCGAAACATCGATGTTTACCAGTGCGGATGACAGTGTTTCATGTAAGTGCAATTTGTTACCATTCATTTAAAGTAGAACTCCTGTGAATGATATCTGATTTTATTCCATAACGAATGGAGGAGGGCTTTATGGTGATTTAATTATTCTTATCCATGATAATAATCACACAATTTTCACAAACATTTCAATTTCTAGACGTGTTTAACTAACACAGTAGCTTCTTTAGTAGAAATGGATGTATATTATCAGAAGTTTTTTTTTTCGTTTTTTTACGAATGATATGAGGTAAACTTTCCTTTGTACATTATGAGCATCACCGATTTTATGATGTCCAGAGAATTCATCTGAGCTTGTTTCAAATATCTGCCGCACTCCAGCTGTAGTGAAGCAAACCAGTGTTTTGTACAACTTACGGTCTTCATTCAACTGAAAATACAAGCAAAAATTATATTGAAAATTATAAACTGTCGGACAAACTTATAATGTATTCAAAAATTAAAAACATAACAACATTCCGTTTTTATGTCAACGAAATCATGTATTTTCAATATTAGGTGATCAAAAATAAATATAGGGTAGTATTAAGCTGAAATAAATTCACAACACTTGCTTAAACTTATATAAATAAGGAAAAGAAAGGATTTGGATTTTCAAGCACAAAGTTGAAAAATGTGTCGTCCCCTAGTGGCGTATTCTCAGACTTCAGCATAAATATGATTTCTTATGATACATAATATAATAATAAACTTCCGAAAAGTTGAAGGAATGTCACGGAATAAGTTGAATCAACTCATGTAATCGATGAAAGTACGTAATGACATTCATTCGCTTATTTGATTAAATCCCAGCCATAGGAATCTTGTTTAAATTTAAAGGGGTATATTTTTAGGAGAGAAAGATTTTTGGGAAAGAAAGGTTTTGTCTTTCTACTTCTTCATCTTGATACAAAAATTTGTAGGAATCTTCCAAAGAAAGGAAGGAAGCAATCGATTTCAAAAAAATAACTCTATACAAAGAGATGTGTAGATCATGCAAAAAAGATTATGAAACCGTAAAGTAAGAAAAAAATTTGAATGGAGCAATTGATGAAAGAAAGCATCGGTGGACAAATCGGTGAATTCAAGAACTCGTCCATAATAAATATAGTTTATCGTGATTTTTAGGTTGGTAGAACTGTATAAAAATTTTGCCAACAAAGATGTATAAATATGCGCCAACTCAGATGAGATTTTGATGTGCATTTAAAACCAATTGTACCCGCCCACAATTAGTCGCACAAACTGATGTAAATTATTCATAAGTTGGCGGAGTCTATTAACACAGAGCGATTTTAAGTTTCGGCGCTGCCTCAACTTAGTTGGCGCGTATATCTTTTATTACCTCCGTAATGAATTTATTTTATTTCGTTGTCACCACATTTGTTGAATACAGTTTGCTTGTGTTTATCATTTTGACAGCTTACGTAAAATTTCCATTGACCGTTTAAGCAAAATACCGTATAGACATAAACTTGGGTTTTTGTTCTGCGAGTCCAGCCAGCCAGGCTTCAGAAAATTTGACCTTGATATATGGATCATGCTACAGAAATACTGTGATCATGCACTCAGTGTCTTTTGTTCCTCTAAGAGTATGCACATATACCTAAGTTACGAAACCGCTGAATTCATTACTGAATTATCTAAATTTTATTTTAGTACGAAAATAAAATGTCGAGTGGCAACTCTGGTTGTATATTTTTATAATTTTTTTATTTCAATAATTTTTCATGCATCAAGCGATCATTAAAAGGTTTGTTTTGATTCTGTATTACAAAATGTTGGATGAACATTTCGAATAATTGAACTGACGCAAAATCAATGCACAGAACCCAACGTACGGAAGGGAGAAAATACTTTGCTGGCCAGAAAAGGTCCTCCCAAACAGGACCCTAGTAATTCGAATAACACGTTTGCTTATATTGAAAAACTGACACGAATTTCACCAATTCACCCTTATACGGGAGTGGTTTATTTCGAAGTCTACGAGGGTGATCCCAGAAGTACCCGACCTGACTAGAGATGGCGGTAGTTGTTTGAAAAATATCATGGTATTATAAAATACACAATCTATGAAGCATATGTTTCAAGTTTGAAGACGCTGCGTTGTTTGGTATTTGATGGCAGAAATCAATAGCGAATGTTTTCGATAAATTTGTGAAAATGGAGAAAATTGGTGAGCTGAGGCGTTTCAAATGAAAGGCCTGAGGCGTTTCAAATGAAAGGCCTGAGGCGTTTCAAATTAAAGGCCTGAGGCGTTTCAAGTAAGCCTCAGCTCAACCAAAGTAAAAGCAGAACTGGATTCTACTCCGAGGGAGTCTGCTCCTTCGTTTACAACAGTCAAATATTGGGTAGTAAAGTTTAAACAATGCCGTACGGGCTGCTAAGACAAGCATCGCAGAGATTGACCAAATGAGGTAACTCCAGAAATGGCGAAGAAACTACACAAAGCCGTACTGAATGATCGTCGACTGAAAGTTTACAAGGCCCATGAAATACAATGAAGGCACTGTCAAGTTCAGAAAAGAATGGAGTATTATGATATCTTAATATACATCTTATAATTTTTTTCGTGCTATGAATATTTTTTGCGAGCTTGGTGAAGAGCCCAAAAATTTGATCCCACAGAAAACAATTGACTGAACATTAGCATAGTAATATGTTCGCAAACAGCTGACAGATACTTGGTCCTGTAGATATCGTATAACTCCGCAGATTGCGTTCAGCCCCAGCTTAGGATCAGATCTAGTATAACGCTCAGAAATTTTATATATGATGTGTTGGAAAGTGTTGTTGCATTTGAGTTTCACATATGGGGACTCTTCAAAGTTGTTTCTGTAACAGAAAGTTATAAGGACCATTTTTCCAACATTTAACTTGAGCATATTTTCTTTACACCACGTTCTCATGGTTTATAAGACAGTTGAAGCTATTGTCGAAAGCTCCGACGTATTATTTCTTGTAACAACAACCGATGTCATCAGCAAACTGATATATACTACCAAGTTTCAATGCTTAAGAAATATCATTATATCATTCACATATAACAAGAAGAGTAAGGGTCCAAGAATTTACCCTCGGAGTACCCCTTACATGATACTACCTTTGCTGGCATGTAATATATGATAATTCAGCATTTATCTTGATAGTTGAGAATACTATTATGTTCAAACTGTGACTTGTTTCAAAAAACATACAGAGATAGTTTTATAATATATAGAAAAGGTTCCTACACCAACCAAATATCAAACAACCAATTTTTCTGATCTCTAAAAACATCATCAAATGATGTGGAAGGTTTCCAGAATAAGTCGATATCGCAGCCTAGACTCAACAAAAGCATAATAGATTTATCAGTTGGTTTTCGGTGAGAACAAGAAATGTTCTCAATTTATACGCCTCAGAGTTTGAACCAGAGACAAATTGAAAATACTGAGTTCTGAAACTCAAAGGTTCATTGATGTGTCCTCCACGGAATTTCATAACTTGTTGTTTTTTTCAAATCAGTGTTTTCAATTCTGAGACTTGTTTTGAAATTGAAAATACATAGTTTGTTTCCTGAGGGCTCAGACATTAATAGTTATTCATATTACTCAACAGCTGATCACATGAATTTTCTAGATGATTATTCGTTTTCTCAGATACTACTAGCGAACCGCCCTGGCTTCGCACGACAATGCTGAAATTAAAACGCGTGCAACCGCTGCTAATCATGAAATGCGAAGTGCGGCCTTCATCCCGCTATTTATAGGCACGCAAGTAATGGGTCAGTGTATTCATATATCATCACAAACTAACACAATAACTAATACTATAGAAATTAGGCCAAGCCCCATTTGATGACTCTCATTACCTAACCTAGTTGTGAGATTCATTTTTATAATCTCCTGAATTGCATTACTTATCTAATAGCTTGTAGTTTTCTCATTACCATCATCTTTCATTACTTCTATCAGTTAAACAAGTAGTTCAATATTCATTGGTTAAGTTGTAAAACCAGGTGTTGGATAAAAAAAACAAAATTAGTAGTAAAATAATTTAATCAATATCTTTTTTGACGTTAATAATTTAAAAAATGCTGATAATAAACATTCATTAAAATTGGTTTTTCAAATCTCATTATTTTCCTAAACAGCTGTCATCTTGCAAAATTATTGACATTAGCTGTTTATCTTTCAGAGCAGCATTCACCTCTTCTTCATTCCATTCCAAACACACCTTGTGTAATCTGGGTTCCTTTTTTCCTGAAACTCTGATAATTCCTCTAGTTTCTAGAAGAGAACAAAGTCCTACAAACTCTGCTTGATCTACAGCCTGTATATTCCTTTTTTTACATGCTCTTCCATATACTTCATGCAGTTTACCTACTGTCACATCTTTGTTCTTTCCTTTTTTCAATATCAACAATAAAGAACAAATTAAAATTTTTTGTTGCAAAGGAAATGATTCCTCTGTTTCTTCATTCAAATTCTGAGATGTGCCATAAACGTTGTTTAAAACATTCAATACTTCTTTCAATTCAACAGTCTTCATTTCATCTTCAATTAAGTCTTTGGCAAGATTTTCTATTGGTTTCAGTATCTCCCCTTTTCTGCTTTGGTCCACTAGTTCCACCACTCTCCTTCCAATATCCAATGCCCTTCTAACATCGCCAAAAATTGCTGCTACCTTCCCAGCCAGCATCTGAATTGCTGGTGGAGAAAACACATCCAAAACTCCTGCTGACTTTAGACGAGAAGTAAATATTTCGATGATTTGTTGTTTGGTATATGGAGCAAAGTGCATAAGTGTTGGCTTTAGTTCACAACGAGCCTGCAGCCTTGGAAGTATTCTGTCTGTCAAATCTAGGGCATTGGCAATTCCAATCAGAATGAGCTGAGAATTTGGTTTGGAAGGCCATTCAAAAATAGTATAAAGAATTGATTGATTTTTGTTGTCAAGTTGATCAATTTCGTCCAGAACTAATAATCTGAAATTATCAAATAATAATATTTTCACATAACTATTCAGCATACATTTAAAGTATTTATATCAAATATGACAAAAAAGTATAAAATTCTTCCATTCAGGAGTAAAGTTACACCTCATTATTTTTCTAGTCCACCTAAACCCATTAACTTTTTCTTCTTACTAAAGGGGTAGTAGGTACTTCAAGCTATATCAAGCTAATGTTTTCACAATTTCAGTTTCAGTTTGAAAGGCAGTTTGTCAGTAAAGATAATTAATTTTGATTTATTAAATGCTATATGAAGTGACATTTGAAGATTCCAAAAATCTGTTGTTGAAACTTAAATGGTTCTGAATATTATTAAATATCAATGTAAAATGATTAGACTAGACTAAAATTACTAATCTAATTCTAGAAATAATAGAATTGAAAAAATATAATTTTTCCGACGATTTTTTATATATCTCATTATTGAAACTGTTTTCAGAGTTATTTATGTCATTAGCGAAACAGTCTTTGCTCACCCTGTCACAATGAATAAATTACGATACATATTGAGATCAAAGTGACCCAGTAATTGCGACCTCTTACAAAACATTTTCTTCTCAAACACTAATTGAGCATGAGTTCATAACTGAACCAAACAGGAAAATGAGTCTAAAAAGTTTAACAGATACAATAATATTTTTAATTCCATATATGTAATAGAAGGGAGATTCAGGATATTCTACATCCATATTGTTCATGATACCCAATTAATATTTGCAAAACTTACTCATATTCTTTGAAACAAGATTGCCAAAGTTACAATTATTTTAATAAAACAAGTTGTTTTAAATAAATTGTGATTTAGTAGAGGAGGCATTAGTTTCTGATGCATATCTCATAGGCCAATCTGAAGACCACTCTTTGTCTAACATAATACAAAGATGTGTAGATCATGCATCTTTGTATAGATTACTTTTTTGAAATTGATTGCTTCCTTCCTTTCTTTGAAAAATTTCCACATTTTTTTTGTATCAAGATGGAGAAGCAGAAAGCCAAAACCTTTCCCAAAATTTAATCTCTCCTAAAAATATACCCCTTTCAATTTATGTAAATAAATTGCGCACCACAGATGACTCAATTCGACTCAAATTCGATCATCAGTAAATTACTAGATATGACCAACAAAGTTGGAGAAAAAGCAGGGAATATACTTTAAAAAAATTCAAATTCAATAGGGACAAAACCCAAGATATATTCTGTCCTATTGATGTCGATTTCATAAAGGAAGTTAATATTTACACTACTCACACAAAATTATTATGGATCGCTGAGATCAAATGTTGCATTTTTATCCCAATCGGGTACTGTCAATTGGATCCAGAGCAGTGCGAAAAGGCGTTGACTGGGAATGGACACCAAATGTAAAGCTTTTGGGCTCTTAGTTCAATGCAATGTATTAATTATTATAAACCGACACGTCAAATTATTGGGCAACACAATTCATGACCCAACTTTAAATTGGAAAAAAACACTACAAAATTGTGTAATGCCAATTTATTATCCATATTTTCCTATCAATGAACATTTTATTGGCACCATATATAAGCATAGTAATGTTGCAAAAATCTTCTAATGCTCTGGGGGTTTTTCGTATGCAACATTTTGTCTTTCACTTTTATTCCCAATTCATTTGCTAGAGGTTTGTAAAAATGAAAGGATATTTTCCACTGACTCTTAGAAGTAAATTTGGAGATTATTTTTGAAAAAAAGTTAATTATTATAGGATTTTGTTACTGCACATAAATAGTTGAAATTGTTTCTAGATTTTGCTATTAACGTTCAAATATTACTTATCTTAAAATTTTACTGTTTTTATTTTATTACTACTTTGAAATGTCCCTTTTAATGTGGAGAATCTGCAAGCATTACACATAACATAACGAAGTAAAATTTGTTTACAAGTCTATCAAAATTTGGGGAATCATATACACCTACGATTGATGAGCTGGAATACCAGTACTATCTATAAATAATGAATAATACCTTCATACATAAAATATTTTCCACACTGATAGTTAAATATTTCGGTAATCACACTGAAATCTCAATAATAAATAGCAGAACTTTTAAACCTAAAAAAACATACATCATTTTGTGCTTTCTCTTCAAATAATTTTCCAAAACCAACAAGTAGTCTTTTTCTGTTCTTCCATGAACTTTAATTTTCAGTTCTGAAACTATTCTTGAATATATAGCAGTAGGTGATTTGATGGCTGTACAGTTGACATATACTGTTGTTAACTTAGATGTGACCTGAAACCAATAAGTAAAAAAAATATTTTTCAAAACATACTTTTATTTACATAATCTAAAAAGAAGGAAGTAAACTTTGAATTAAATCAAACCCAACAATTTATTATATTACACAATTTATAGATATGAAAGCTTCTCACGAAATCTTTTCCGAAGATTTTGGATTGCAAGAGGTGAAAATCCCCAGAAAGGTTGATGAAAAAATTCCGATTTTCTCCTCAAAAAATGACTTGTTCAATAGTCAAATAAGGTCTCAATATAGGTTAAAAGTGATTCTTTTATTTACAGTTTGTTCCTTATCTATTTGTCTTCAAGTTTGAGTTGTTTAAATTTTTATATTACATAAAAAAATTATGAATATACTGACATGTAACCTGATGAAAATTTATTACACAATCCATGATACTTATTATAAAATTTTCAGAATCACTTGTCACCAGTACAACTGATGAAGCTACCATGAAGAGAAACATGTCTCAACTAAAATTTATTGTGACAAATTTTAAAATTATTATCATGGATAGCCATCAGATAATTGCTTTTGATTTTGAAATATATCAAAATGAACTAACAAATAAATACTTGAAAAGTAAATTATATTCCAACAATTATGGACCAAACATTCTATTGAAAACTTATCGATATATACTTCTGAATTAGACTTCAATGACTAATTTACTTTTATTGCAAACTGATACCAAACAGTTGTTGGACTACAGTAGGAATGAACTACGATGTTTAACAGGCCTTCTTACAGGTCACTGTCATTTGAATCATCATATGCAGAGCCTCGGACTGTCGGAAGACAGTGTGTGTCGTCTCTGTTTGGAAAATGATGAAACAGCAGAATACATACTTTGTGCCTGCCCCGCTGGGGACCAAATCAGGTTTTTAGAGTTCGGCAAAGCCGTACTCTTACCATCTGACCTGAAAGACCACTCACCATACAAACTAATCGGTTTCATTAAACAGCTGGGTTTATTTGGTTGAGTGTGAATAGGTGTGAGCCACCATAAACCCTTACGGGTTGCGGTGGATGGTGGAATAGACCCACTCACGATACACTCATAACGGTATGCTACTCGTTAGTTCCAAACGCATCCAGTTCGCGCAGATGACGTGAGTGCGAAGAATATCGGGGTTGTAACTTTGTAGACTTGCCTAAATTCAATTTGAATTTCTCACAAGTTCTCTGTCGTGCTGTGAAGTTTAAGAATTATTACGAAATTATTGTCAAGAGTAGTTTTCAAACATTTTTAATTAGCTTTTGTCAACTTAGTGTCGTATTCAAAGCTTCAATAATTAAACAAAAATACGATTAGGTAGGTATATAACTAAGAATGTCTGGTTGTGCGGTTTTTGGTTGTAATAATTACAACAGAGTGACAAAAGAGACCAATATTAAGTATTTTCGATTCCCAAAGAGCAAAGAACTGTCTAAACAATGGATTTCAGCATGTAGGAAGGACAACATCAATTTGAAAAATGGTGTGTATTAATTAAAGCAATGATGACACATAATTTATTAGGTATTCAATGGTTTTCAGTAACTATTACAGAACACATTCTTATTGACATAATGAAGCCATCTTCAATGCTAGTCATTCTTATATAGTTGTAAAATAAAAGGTTTACATTTTAAAAAGAAAATTGCAGTTCTGTTGTAAAAAAAATATTCTCCGATCATATGTTAAAGGTTTTGTGATGACAAATAATACCACAAATGTCAACTTGTCATTCCAGATAGAATGGTGAGTTCGTCCATTGACTCCTTAATTACGTGGTATCAATTCTGCATCTGTTTGCTAGGCTCCAGATTTTCAAAACCAAACACACCTCTTGGATGCTTCACTAAATAGGCATCAACTGTGTGAAAATGTAACCTTGATAATCTCTTTAATTTGTAAATAGCACCTAATAATTTCAAAACAAAAACAGCTAATAATATTTTGTTAAAATATCAAACTTACATCATCCTCTTTCAATATCATATTGAGAGAAGCAGTTTTTCCTGTTCCAGGTGGTCCACTAACATACATGGATCCAGAAGATTTATTTTCCAAATGATTCTTAATAAAACTTCTCATATCCTTCAATTCATTTTCTCTTCCAGGCATATTAGTAGGTGCCGTACTATGAAGAGCTTGACGTGCACTCTGATAAACACTGTTTCTTTTCAATGGGGATTTGTGACCAATACTATTTTTGGAAACATTCACATAGTCTTTCACATCAACTAACTCCTCAGAACATGTTTCGGTGACCATATCACAGTTCAGTTTGGTAATTTGCTTCTTTGATTCATTTTTAATTGGGCTTTTTAATGATAACTGTTCAAATAAATTAGATGATGTATTAAAAGTATCACTGTTATCTGTATTCACAGTTTTCCTTTGCTTAGGAGGTGACACGTAGAGGTCATTATTCGCTCTTGATTTAATTTTTCTACTAGTTTTCATATTTGCAGTTTCATTGTCATCTGCTTTACATTCATAATCACAAGATGAGAGGGCCTTTGGAATTTTTCTAGGAGCCGTTCTGTTCTGACTTGATTGAACGCTTTGAGTTTTTCTTGTTGATGATCTGGTGTTCATTTTCATTGTTGTCTGATTGAAACAAATATGACTCTAAACATTTGGATTCACCTGTAACATATGTTTTGATTTTTCTCTCAGGGTCTTTTTTGACTAACCTCTAATTTTACGGTTTTCTATTTTCCCGCAAAAATATAACTGTCATTTTTTAGCTGCATTCGGCTTAACGCCTGATTAAGTATAATGATGACACAACAGAATTGAATTGTTACTATTCTCGTTTCTCGTAGAAGCACAGATTAAATATCTGTGGTAGAAGTGCAATGAATCTGACATTGTTGACAGGTTATTCCGACATGACATGATATCTTATGACATGTCAAAACGACTGACGGGAGGCCATAAGGGCATTATTTGAAATTTGACTTCTACTACCATAAACAAAGGTTGAAAGACTAACGTAAAAGTAGTGTGTGTGTGTGTATTAGTGCCTTTCTAATGAACAGGTCATGGTAATAAAATCTGTTGCAAATTCGAACATGAGGAGCACATCAAACTTTCAACTCAATATTTAGCTGAATGGTAGAAAATTAAAAGTACTAAGTACTAATACAATGAAACTGTCAGTTTTATTGTATTAGTTTGAAAATATCTACAGAGGATGAAACTGCAGTAACGATAGTTACTAATAAAAGTGGTAAAAACATAGAAAGTTTCATTTATCATTTTTCATGATGATCTCCTACCACATAGTACCGGCTACATCAATCAATTTATTAAAAACTTAATTTCACTTTCTATAAGTTAATTCGGAAATTTCCACTCCAAACTCTGAATTTGAACATTTTTATTACAACGCAACCTCTAATATTTCGACATAACTTACACTTATTCGGAAATCAAATAAATTCAAGTTTCAAGACTAAATTTCCTAGTTGAATATGAAAAAATCTTGTTGAAGTGAATAATATCAAAAATCTATCCAGTGTAACTGTTTCACGCTTTTATAGGTACAACTGTTTCGAAAATGGGGAAGATGTTCAAAACAGCAAATGAGATGTATACAGCGTGACTCACGGTTGGTGGTAGGTTAGATGTTTCTGGAAAACGCATTGCAGGATTTTTCTGAAAATTTTACATTTCCCTACGTGTTCTAACGATCTGTCTCTATCGGTTTTCGAGATAAAAAATAATTTGTGCTAAATAGGGTCTAAAATATCGTCCTAATTGAACTTAAATACATCAGTACTCTCAATTCATGAAAAGTTAATATTTTGATGACACTTTGGACAAACTCGAAATATTTATTGAACACCAAGAAATTGACTCCATATCATACAGGGCGTGCTAAAATTACTATTATTTCTATTTTGCATAAAAGTGGTCAAAAGTACTTTTTTCTAATGAAACCCCCTGTACATTACTCAATAAATTGAAGGATGATGAAAAATGTTTCAAGATGATATATCATGTCCCTATACCTAAATCATAAAGTTTTTTTGATAAACTCACTTCTTCTGGAAACATTTTTTCAAGAATTTGGTTTTAGGTCGCCGTGGAAATATTAATTTCATGACAGTTTGGTAACTTTTATAAGTGATTGATAAATGGTTATTGATTATTCAATGAAGTTCTTATGAAATTATTTATTATACACAGACAGTGTGATCAAATCATTGTCAGAAAATTCAACCAAATGTATCCTGAATCAACACCAATGAACGAGAGGAAGTTTGTAACACTAAAAAATAATTTCCTAAACTATAGCTCAAGGTAAAAAGCGCCTTCAACATTACCAACACGTGTTATTTTAAATGAGGACAGTACTATTAACGTTTTGGTATATTTTAATGCATATCCAGAAGCTTCCATTCGCAGTGCAGAGAAAATTTGGGTGCATCACATGCTTCAGTACAACAAATTCTGAAAAATTACTAAATGCATCAGTATAAATTTACCAAAGTTCAAGCTCTCAGAGCAGAAGACTTTAAACGCAGAATGCATTTTTGAGAATCCCTTTTAATACACATACAGGAAAATGCAGAAAATGTGACATTTTGTTTACAATTTTATTATTTTCAATCATCCTAATTCTGTTATTCTGTACTTTCACATGTAATAACCCAGAAAATCTTACTTTTCACCTAGAAATGTGTCTGATTTTTGGTACTTTGTTTGAATAATCGATCTGTCTCTGTATCTGTAGAGTAGGGAGGGTGAGTGTATTAGATCCACAGTACTCAGGCTACATGTGACCCATTGTACATACTTGCGAGGAGTTGTTCGCCCATCCTGTCCTTTCCAGAAAGATGGACAGGTCACTATGATACATCTCCTTAATATTGGCAGGTATAGGCCAAGACTCGCTGAAAGTTTTGGAAGGTGCAGCGACATTACTGTCGTTCCGTGGCTTCTTCAACCTTATTGGGGTTCCCTCCGTGGAAGTGTACAAGCGAGGGAGCTTTCCTTCAGGGGCAGCCGGTTCCTTGCCTTTATTTAAAGCGGAGCTGTTGGTGTCCGCCGCAGGAAGTGCCCTTGCTATTGGAGGTGGAGTGGGGGAAGAGGAGGGTGCACTTATAGTTGCTGCCACTCCTGTCTCCTTCGCTCTCTTACTCCTTTTGGCCTCGGCGTCGCAAATGCGCTTACGCCTTAGATTGAAGTGAGCACTTCTGTCCAGCCTCGGGATTAATTTTTGTTTTTGTTCTATCTGTTTTTCTGTTTGTTTCATTCATGTATGTTCCCACGAGTAGCAATAAGGGAAGAGTTGGTCACCTCTGGCAAAGCCCCTCATCACCAGTGGTAGGGTGGTTACATTGAGGTTTCGTCCAGTTCCCAAGAGGACTGTTCGTAACCGCATTTCACTCTGCGGCCATTCAGCTGTCGACACGATATTTTAGATCGATAGAACAGGTAAGGAAATGTAAGACGTGAAATTTTCAGAAAAATCCTGTGTCACGTTTATCATAAACGTTTAACCTACCATCGAATCACGAGCATAGATCAATATATAATGTATAACAACTACAGCTATCGAAACTTCCCCCTGTTAACACGGAAGCCAGGTTCCAAAAGTGTTTTAATCCAAAGATATAATTACGAGTTTTGTTATTTACGTATGCCCTTCTATTCATTGAAATCAGAAAGGGTCAAAGTTGATCATTTTCTCACAAATTCAGTGAGCTCCAGTCAAGCGTGTGATTCCTTTCTGGATACTATCTGATAGTCTTAGAAAAATAGTGAAGAAAAAAACACTTACCTTTTCCTATACTTGGTTAGATCTAGCAGGTGTTAGAAACCGAAACCCTGTTATTATCAGGAGAAATTTTCTAGGGCGTTCGTTTTCTACTTCCTTACTGGAATCTTACTAGTATCTCGAGAACGCTGCGTTGCATTTCTAGAGGTATAACAATGTTTATGAATCAAAAAGCACGAATTATGAACATTTCTACGCATTAATTTGCCGAGAAGCAGTTTCAGGGTCATATATGTGATGATAAATGTTGTAGACGATTTGGCGAAAATTGTTTACCATTTGCCTACAAAGATCTTCATTGAAATCATCTATTCATGACGTGAGATTCATTCTGGTATCTTCGATGAATGATGTGGATAAAAAGTGTTGTGTGAAGTGAAGTAGGTGAGTTTAATTACTGCACACTATCGTTATAATGAATATTTTGTTTGGTTAAAGAGTTACTTGATTTTCGTTTATGCGGTTTATGAGATGAAATAACTCATTTTTCAGCCTCATCAACTTTTTAGCTTCGGTATCTAAAATATATAGATCATATCAAACATATATATGTATATATACATTATGCATACACATGAATACAAAAATGTTTTGTATTCATTTGAAAATGTCCTTATAGGACGAAACTGCAGTAACGTTAATTACAAATACAAGTTGCAAAAATCATAGAAAGTTTTATTTCTCATTTTCCACGTAATAACGGCTACATCCATCAATTTATTAAAAGCATCTGTCTCACTGCGTTTTTTCGTTAAACACATATTAACTTCCGTATGAACTTGTTGATTGATTTACTGATTCTAGGAGTATATTTTGCATCCCTTTGCCAGTGTCAGGTATCAGTTAAAGCTGTGCGGGACACATTTTCTGATATATAATAATCATCCTGGCTCACTGAATAATACTTTTAGAATTCACTAGTCATTACGAAAAGCTGACTTTCACATTATAAGACAGTAGAAAAACGATTATTTGAATGTTTGTTCCTGTAGTAACGTATAAGCATTTTCCTAAAGTTTAACGTTTTGATTATTCCTAGATGTCGCTCACTCCATAGATCTCTTTTATTCACTTCGGCAACACTGGACACTTTACAGAAAATAAGAAGAAGAATATTTTTAGTTACCGAGGTTGCGAAAGTTGTTTCCTCGATTTCATCTTTCATTTGTGTTTGAGGTATTGTACAGAGAATACTTCTGCTGTTATAAAGGGAATCGTCTAGTTTTTTGCTAACTAGACTTTTTTCAACAGCCAAAACATGAGGGCTAAGGTAAGAATTGATAATATTTTTGAATTACATTTAATAGTTGTTAATTTAGATGCTATGTTCTTGAAGTGTAATGTATTATCGATGCACGTTTTATAAATGTAACCACATTGTCTCCCATTTTTATATTTAATTTTTACATTTATTTTTTTTTTCATTACTTTTATATTAGTAGGTATTATGTATTTGAGAAAACGTATTTTTCGTACAAATTAACAATTAGTGACATTTTTGAGGTCATCAAACCATTGGAAACCCGAGTGTACACAGTACATGAGGATGTGATAAAGTTTTCTTCCCTTGGAGAAAATTTGAATACTGTTATGCATGTATGAAAAATTTTGTCTGTGGGTATATTAATTTGGGTCTCCACCTGGTCTGTTTAGTTGATAACAGATACAGTCTAAGAATCCAAAACATGTTTTACTATAAATATTTAATTAATTTTGAGTGTGGGTTCATTTGAACATTGATATAATTTTTGCAGTGGCGTAAGAAGCGTATGCGAAGGCTAAAGCGAAAACGCAGGAAGATGCGTGCGAGATCTAAGTAGATGTATATTATGGTAAGTTTATCTAACAATTTCTCACAGTTTTCATTATTTTCTTTCCAATTGTTAAATTGCATATATTTCGAAATAAGAAATCTATTATAGTAGGTAATTCAACTTCAATGTGGAATCTAGCACCATTGTTAAGCTGCCTTGCATGATTCAAATTGAAGAAATTCCATTTCCATGTTTTCTTCCATTTGTTATTATTAATAACTGAGAATCGTACACGTAGATGTAAGTGTATAGGTATAATATATACATGCTCATGCATGGATATTGCCACCGAAAATCTCTGACAACTGCTTAGGACTTTATACTCACAACTTGAGATTTTACACTAACAACTTGTGACTATGAACTTCAACTTGGGACTGGTGCATTATTCCACCTTCAGTTTTCAAGATACATTTAAATTGAAGATGGTATAAATTTATTTTAATCATCTTCTAAATTTCCTATTAAGGTTATTTCATTAAGTGTTTCAATTTTTTTCTTACATTCTCTTTATCATTCCATTTATCTTTGTGCAACTATGAAAAAACGGTTGCTCTTTGCCTAGGAATAGCTAAATCTTGGAATAATAATTGGCAGTAATCAAATAATGAATATCATTAATTTAGGTTAACAACTTCCATCTTCTTGTAAAGTCTATTCCCATTTATCATCCCTTAATTAGCACATTGAAGAAAGAATACTATATTTTTGATCCTCATTACGAGCAGATTAAATCTATTAAGATGTCGAACTGTTTCAATTTCAAAAGGTTTTTGTGGCTTGAGGAATCTTTCAAAGGTATTTGGACATTTCTTCAAACATTACGTCTAGTATTCACTTTGCTACTAGATACAGATCGAGAATAAATGAACTTTGGGATACAATCTTTTCAAGATTGCGTATATTTTTCAGTATATTACTTAAAAAGAGTTATTTTCCATTATTAAAAATTTTCCGATTGGACATTCCACCTGTTATTTAGAACTATTGGTTAGCTTCAAAAATATCCCAGTTTGGAAAATGTCCTTTTTGGTTTTCTACTTCTTCAATACATATAAAATAGGTGTATTTTACCTTGCAGATACGGAATTGAAATGTTTCTTTCCTGAACCACAGACCTTACCACATGACATTAAAGTGTCTCTTCTGTAAGATATTTTGTACCTAAACACACCAGACATTCGTAATTGAAACAGAAGAATATGCATCATAAAAAGCATATACAATTTATATAAAAATCGCTATAACTCTCAAACTGGACCTAGATTTTTGGGTAACCTTTAGATGCTAATTTTTTTCTTGGAAGTTTTCCTTTTTTATAATGAATACTTTAGTAGAAAGCCAAAAAGATTATTTTCTTTTCTTCTGTGATTGTTATAGTTAATTCTTTTATTTTGTTTCAGGAATTTCATCAGTTTTTTCACTCTGGGGAGTTTCTGTTGAAACATTCAAAACTTCAAAATTCATCCAGTGACTACTTGTATCATTGACATGTACATTGTGATGACACCAAAAAAATAATAAAAATATTTAAAAAAAATCTGCCTCTTTGATTTCATTTGCTAGAATATCTTGTGTAAGGAGGAATATATGTATATAAAGAGAAAGACAAAGTTTGGTGACAGTTTCATAAACGATGGCGAGATTCTTTTTTAATAATACTATGCAAGGGTGTATTTCAGTGTGTATCTTTACCTTTTTTGTGTTTTAAGAGTTTATTAAAATGTCAATCTCTTTTCATATACCCATCAGTTGAACACCCATTACTTTTGTTCATGAATGTTTTATTCAAATACGGGTTTTGTAGTTGCATCTGGATTTTTTACTCTATTGTATTATGCTTATGATAATTATGAATTTTCATAGGTATCATTTCTTGTTCTTTTTATAAGAGGTTGGTTCGCAAGATGCAACATGTGCAAATTATGAATGAAAAAAAGAATATTAGAACTTCATCAAATATCTTTATAGTTACAACTGTATTTTACATTAGTTTGGGGTTCAAAACTAAGAGGGAGAAATATCAACATTAATAATGGAAAATCAATGTGTTGTTCCAAATGGCAGAAACGTGCGATGGACAATAGTCATGTGTTTTCTAAATTTGATCAGTGAAAGCTGCTTGAAACTAGTTTGTCCATAAGACAAAATTTTCAAATTTAACAGAGCTTTCGCTTGTCAAAATTGTTATCCGATGCTTTCTAAGGATGGTTTTTATTATTATTTTGATCAGGAGAAAGAAATTTGGAGTTATTTATTTTTTATTATTGACAGTTCATTTATGGAGACCATTGCATTATAATTAATAATAGGTTGAAGTCTGATTTTTCCAAATGTTCATAACCACGAGTGACGCTAGCGTTGGTGGTGAAGTTATTCGTATTTAAAGTCAAATTGAATTTGAAAAGAGAAAAGAGTTTAGAGAAATTGCTGACGTTATCTGAGGATAACGGTAATATATAGGTAATAGGTATAGGTAATATTTGCTCAATTGTAATTGGGTAATCAATGGTTTCATAGTTGAAAAATACAAAAAAGAAAATGGAAAATATTTGAAACTGACGAAAACTACGCAGTGTTTTTCAAAATTGATAAGTTTTTTAAACACCTCTTTTTTCGCGGTTTGGGCGATGTAGAGTAGTTGACGCACTGATTGTCGTTCTCGCTGTCAAGTATCAAGTCAAATCTGTGTTGGTACACCTGTCGACGTCATTAGTGGAAGTGTCGTCTTGTCTGTTCTAAATTTCGTCTTTTGTATATAAAATTGGTGCTAACGTATTGAAATTACAATTTAATAGGTGTTTTTTATGTCTCAGAGAAGTGTTTTCTATATTAGTGATACGTGATCTCGTGATAAGGAAAAAGGAATAACTCTTTAAGGTAGGTTAGTCTACTTAAATGTTTTTCATGTCAAAATGCGTCATTGATATTTTACAATTTTTCTTATATGATTTTTGAGTTCAATCTAATATTTCAATTTGTCGTACCTGTTGATAAGAAATAAATAAAACTAAATGCAGACCTACTGTTGAAAAAGTCAGCTGATGTCTTGAACATGTAAACGCCCTTGAATTTCTCCAGAATCCTTGTATTCACAATACGCCCCCCTCTTTGTTTCTACATCCTACTAATCATTCAGTAATTATATGATTGCTAGAAGCAGTTCAAGTGAAATGTTTTGTGAATGCTACTATTTTCCAACATAGTAGGTATCCAAAATATTTGCATCACAGATAGCTAATTAACTTCTGATAGTAATACTATTTTTACCTCTTGATTATGATATTGCTAGCTGTAACTTTCATTATATGGTTTGTTTGTTACTCGATGAACTTCGCTGGGTATCTAGAGAAAGTGGTAGTTTTGAGAACATAGAAATTCGTTTTTTGTAAAATTGTCTTACTGCCATTTGAATTGGCAGTAAGTAAGTAAGTAAGTATCCAGCACATTCGGCTGTTTATGTTTCCAATCTGTCTGGTCACATATTGGGTTTATTCAAAAAGGATGTTGGAAAAAATTATACTGTATTTCCAAAATCAGGAAGTGGTTATCATAACAATAGTATTAATAAAATGAGTTACAATTACTGTTCACCTCATAGAGAGGTAGTCAGTGGCGACACTGATGGGATAACTTGACCAATACACATCCATTGGTCAATATATCAAAGAAAATAAACATTTTTTCAAAATTACACTACTTTTTTAGTGATTTACCTTTCACAAGTCATCAAAAAAAGCTGAGTTAGATATTTGACCAATTGATTTTTCGGCTTATACTTGGACAAGCATTGTATGGTTGATAACTACTGGAAAGTATTTAAAAACAAGAATGTGGCTATTGTTGGACAATAAGTTGAACATCCATTTATACCAGTTCATTTCAAATTTATATTTTAGTAAGTTGCTATATTCTATCATCTTTGGACATAAGATTATATGAACACCATTGTTAGTTGTTCAGTGGAGTCATTGCTTGTGGCAAATAAAAACTGCTATTTTATCAATTTGGTGATCATAAAATCAGGATGCATCTTGATATAATGAACCTTGGGAGTTACTGTCAGAAATTCAAACTACTCATGAGCTCTACTACTTACTAACACTTTTGGTTATTTATTCAAACCAAATTTATTGTATTAATGGAAAAATAACTAAGTACCCATGATAATAATTATAGAATTCTCATAATAAATTTTATTTATTGCTGCACTGTAGCTTCATCAGTTGGACTACTGTAAAACAAAACACATTTTGAACAAAATTTATTGTGAAAATTCTATGACTATCATCTGTTTGAAATCTGTTTTTCCATAAATCAGCTGTCGCCTCCATACGAACGACAACTCTCAGATGTTGAGAAACTTGTTCGAGCTAAGGACTAACGAGGTCTTACCTTTTAACGTGTGATTCCTAACGTCATGAATAGTGTTATTAATTTTCATAAGTAAGGTGTCAGTGTATTTATAATTTAAAAACAATTAAATTTCGCAGATGTTAATGAAGCTGTCAACATGTTATATGATGTTATTTATGATATGATGAACCGTTCTTGTAAAAGTTTATAAACCTCCACTTTTTCCTGTACTGAAGTGCTTAGTAAGAGAAATCACCAAATTTCACAGAAAGTATAAGCCGATAGTGGATTATGATTATTATGGTTTTTTTTCAAATTCATGTAGTAAATGTAAATAACTCAGCAATTCCTGTAGTAAATCCTGTTATACTCAATACATTCGAGATATAGAATATATGATAAATGTAAATCCCATGTGATTCTGGCATCAACTCAATGTATTTGTATACCCAATATGAAAATAGTTTGTAGGGAATTGTTGATTTTTTTGCTACATATTTTTCACTTGCTATGGTAACATAGAAATCCCCCATTATAACTATGGAAGATCGGGTAACATTATTCATTTTGAAATCATTGTCATTGAAGTTATTGACAGAGTTAACAACTTAACAGATATGTTTTCTTTTGGACATGATGGTGTTACAGCATTTTTTATAAACTAATGTGTTCATATCAACTGATACCCTTTGTATGCCTCTATAACTAAAGGATTCTTCAAGACATCAAAACTTCAATGTATTATTTTTTCTCACTGCAGCTGATTAAATTCCTAAAGTGTTCTTTTTTTTCGTTTATGTCCTCTTTCAAGTTCATCACATTGCATATTCAATTTTTTTCACAAAATAATGAAAAATAAAAAAATACAATGAATCAGTTTATACATTTATAAAAACAATGACATTTGAAGAATTTTCTCTGTCCCAGGCTACTGGCCCGCCTGGTCTCTATATTTACCGAGTTAGGAGTGAAGTTCGAGTAAAGCTGGGAGATTAAAAAAAAAGAAGAATAACAGACAAGGTTTAATAAGCACAACTAAACTGCATATAATGGTATAAATGAACATCGGTTTTCTCCTTACCTTCTGAAGAATATCAGATGTTAGTATTCTTCAGCACCTAGTAATTCCCTTTCGTAAAGTTTTTGCAATAGGTAACTGCATCTCGTAGACTTTTGATTTCATCATCTCCAAAAAATACACAGTGAAGTCAAATTGGGAATCTGGCTGGACATTTTGTAGTACTTTTCCTTGCAATCTATCGACCCAAAAGTTATTATTGAGGAGGAACTGTTCCTTGTACATGTGATGAGGAGGAGTCCCGTCTTGACGAAAAACTATCTCAGCTTGCATTACTTGATTATTCAGCAAATTTAAATGATCCTATAATATTTGATTTTTGTTTTATGTTTGTTCCACCTTGTCCAGTATGGTAATGTGTCATTGTTCATTTTACTTGTATCTTTACGTTCAGTAAGACTATATATGAAGGAGTGTTAGTAGAGATAACATAATTGATTGCCATTAGGTTAAATCTTCAGTATATATTTTTATATTTTGTATATTTTTTTATACTTTTTTATACTTTAATATTCGTTTTTGTTTAAGTTATTTGTTTGTATATTATGGGTTCCTATTTCTAAATAAAGTTCTCCTTCTTCTTCTATTCGAAGTTTCTGACCAAACATTTAGATTTTTAGGGATATTCTGTGTGAATTTAGCCGTATTGGAATTTGAGTCACTTCAGTATCGGAAATTAGAACGATTTACTTGTTCATTCAGACAAAAGTACATTCTTACTAGAAACATGTATCCAACAAAACTGGATTACTATTGGCACATTCCAAAGGATCTCACAAAATTAAACTCTTCTGCCATTTTGTAAGAGTAGAATTTGTGTCAATGCATTATTCTGAAAAAATTTGTATGTTTGATGCTTCAGTCAAAGACTGCATATTTATCAAGACATCATGGCCTATAACTGCAACACAAATGCCTCCATTATTGACTATTCCTGAATGGTCATGTTGTCTAATAATATCAGTTTCCATGAATTTATATAACAATTTCATTACATTTCTCCTGGTTGATTTCGTGAAAAAACAGTTGTAGTGGGCCCTTGTTGATTTTCCATGTTCATAGTAAAAACCCATTGTTTCAATCCAAGAAATTTTCCACTGTGAGTTTTTATTTGTTTTTCAATAGTATCGTGTAATAGGTCTCAGTTTAAACATTTCAAAAAGTGAATGTGTGTGATTTTAAGTGTTAAATTGAATGAAATATTGAAAGAGTATTTTATTTTTTCTTGCATAGTTACAGGGTTAGGTACAGAATGGGAATACTTTTCAAATGAGGTGTCAGTCAACTACTAGTTCAAAAAATTATACTGTATTTCCAAAATCAGGAAGTGGACGGTGGCTTTTTTTTAACTGGAATGCACAGTATAATTGATAATAGATGCTCAATCTAGCTAGCAAGCTCTGTAAATGTGATTTTTTCTTTCAAAACTATATGAATTGAAAATCGACATCCTATTTGATTTTGTTTTATAACAATATGATAATCATCGACGTCACACCAACAGTCAATAAGGATCTTTGGAATAAAGTTTCAGGGCACGATGAATTTGAGAACACATTTATAGACACTTTTACGGAAAGTGTTCAAGTGACTTGACACATTTGATTCCACCAAGAGCGGTACATATAAAAAATACGCGACGGACTGTGGCTGCTCATCATTTTGAGGTTCAACTCAGTACATCTCGAACTTCACTGTTTGAGAACTCTTTCATCTGGAGAACTGCGTTTATGTGGAATAAACTTTCTGAGACGTTTTTCCAAATGGATTTAATCTCCAGCAATTCAAATCCAATATGAATCGCTACTTTCGCACAGGAACCATATTTAGAGCGCCTTAGCTATTTTCATGTAGTGCTTGTGTTTTCTCCTAAAAAAAGTGGATAGACTCGTGACTTTTCAAATATATTTTCAGTATTTGAACCCTATTTCATGACGTACCCCGAAAAAGATAAATGACTTAGACGTAATATTCCTAACTTGAGACTATATTTTATGGTTAATTTATCATTCACAATTTATTCATCCAATTAAATGGCAGCCAGCACAACTGTAGCCATAGCCACCTGTGAAGCAAGACGTGATGGGTCATACCAAGTATTTTTTTTTATTTGCTGCTTGGGAGCTGTGTGACTTGTTCCTGGAAAATACTGCAGCTTCATGGACTCCATTTCAATGTGAGATTTTCACTACACAGTTTTACAAAAATGTAACACGTGTTTTGCTATATAATAGCTTCTTCAGGTATATAGATACGTCTATTGTGTAGTGAAATCTGTTTTAAAAAAATCTGTTTTTCCGTTGACCAGCTGTCGCACCCCTACGAACGACAACCCTCAGAAGTCGAAACTTGTGCCAGCTAAGGACCAACGGGATCTTACCTTTTAACGTGTGATTCCTAAAACGTGATTCCTAAACTTCTTGCGTTTTTTTAAAACTGTGTTAAC